GAGGTCGCCAAAAAATTTTGCAGTGAAAAAAAATTTTTCAGTAAAGGTGCCCTTGGTGTGCGTCCGCCCCCCTTTGCCCTATTATCGTTCCGGCGTCCCTGCACTTGTTTATTAATATATAGTCCCAAGCAAAAAATTGTGACATTTCACGCTCAAAAGCAAATTGGAAAAGTCACGTGATCGATATCTTCACTAGTGAAGATATGGAAAATATCTCACTGTGTATTTCTCAGTATCTTACTCTCTACTATATAATAAAACAATTTAAATCCATATTTTGGGTGTTGAGATATTTTCGATTTTTATTTTTAATTTGACAAAGCCCATGACAGGCTGTGCAATGCTTACATGCAGGTTGTGCCTCCATGGCATAGAAACCTGTTTCATGTAAGTCACGGGCGACAAAATTTTAAGAGGGCGGTCGCTTTTGCCCGACGTCTTGTGATCCTCCCCCCCCCCCCCAGGCAAAGGGTTAAAATGTTATCATCATGTTATTTATGGAAGTTCATGCTAAATATTTAGCAATATTTATTACCATTAATCAAACAATGATTTTGCAAAATTAATACGAATCAAATCGTAGCAACACAGAGCACGTAGCTACAACTTGATTTTCGAATGGCTTTTTAATTGCTTTTCAGAAAATTTTGTTCTATTGTAACCATTTTATTTTCAATTGGTAAATATAACAAAGATCATTGCAACACCAAAACCAACGTCAACAAGCAAAAAACAAGGTAATGGACAAGGTAGCACGACACAGCCATGTAACTTTATTTCACACGTGAAGCAGCCAAATTATAGCCGTTGAAAATACTTTAAAACAAATAGAATTTCTAATAAATTATAGATCCCTTTGCAAACCTTGTCAAAAAATAAAAACTATACTCATGATTCCTAATTTAGACGCTATATCAAATCAGTTTACGTAACTGTTGCTGTGTACTTATCCATTGGCAATGATTGGTGTGATTTATCTTGATTTATTTAACTCTATTTCCTTAAATTGGCTGGTGGTTCTGGAGATTTTCTTTTTCACGTGTGCTCCCCCCGCCCCCTTTCCCGGTGATAGAATGGGCGAAAAAAGTCCGCCTTAAAACCTGAGTGCAAGTGAAATACTGAAAAATGTCTTCAATTGTACATATATGTAACAAGATTTTTCTCAACGCAGTCTCATAAAAAACAGCATGTTGCCATTTTAAGTACCTTGTTGCCATTGGTACATAAATCAATGGTCTAAAATATATTTTGTCAGAACATTAAATTCATGAGCTATTTGCTGATATATACTGAGTTTGCCATATAGGTATATTGAAAAGTATTTCCACAGCTGGTTGATTGTAACCCACTAATGTAGGGTAGACCCTCCCTTTAAACCTTTTCAGTTTAAAAAATCATCAGTAAAAACTATGTAATTGGCATCCTTTCAATTCCTTAAGTTTGTACCCAGTTTATTAGAGGGTACTTTTAGATAATTTTTTAACTCATCAGTGTCCTTCCGCAGCTTCTAGGAAACTGAATAGTGAGAGCAGTGGAACCGTTGTAGTATGGCATATTGTGATAGCTTTGGTGTCTGGAATTATTATTGGCATTCTGGTTTCCTACATTGTCTGGTGTTCTTGTCGTCGTTGGTTGAAAAACAGAAGACCTCAATCAAATCCTGAAACACAAAAAACTGAAGTTAATACAATTTATCAAGAGCTTGATCTTTCAAAAATGAACAAAGAAGAAAATTATCAATCGCTGAGAGTAAATGCTGCAAGCTATGACGTTCCAACTGACGATGACTCTACTTATACTGAGTTGAGCAAAACCAGAGATGAGGAGAACAAGTATCAATCTTTAACTTAAACCTGGAATTCTATATGAGCCCTTTTTAGTCCAATGTGTTAGTCTAACATCATCCTACACTGTTGGATGCAACATTGCTGAGTCTGTTTTAACATTATTTTGGTCATAATGTTGGTTCATGTTGGATCAAAGATTTGACTTTATTCAAAATGTTCATCCAACAATGCCTGCATGTTAGAGGATATCTCCGTAAGCCGTAATGAATCGCCTACAGGGCCGGCACTCAGCCCTCTTTGAACGGGGGTTGTGAGTCATGTCAACAACTAATCAATATTTCTTTTGCCAAAATTGTTGGCGGGGGGGGGGGTTGGCGGCTGAACGTAAAAAAACTCCAGATGTTTTTATGTAAGCAAAGTAAGATACAATGTCATACAAACATAGTTGGCAGAACCATGGGGGCTAGCGAGCGATAGTCCCCCCAACACTATGAGTGGTGGGCTGGCTAAGCCAATAACACTTATTGTTATACTTAAAATAACAAGGAATGGTTAATTAATGTATCAATATGGTATCAATTATAAACACAATAATATTTGTTTACGTCACCTCCCTTAAAGTATTGAGCTTAAAATATTAAAAAAAGACCATTAAAAATCCCCAGTTAAAACTTTGTTCAAAAACAATATTCAGACAATTTCATTACAGAATCTTTAAAACGCATGCAAATAGAACTTTGTGATCCTAGCCTCTTAAATTAAAGTGAGGCGAAGTTGCATGCAACTGATTCTTCGCAACGTTTCTATTCTTGGGTTTAGCTACAGTATGATGCAGAAAAAGTTTGAGAACTCCTTTCTCTTTATACAAAATTTGATAAATTCCTTGTTATCATAAGTCGCTCTTTATCGCTTCTCTGCATATTAAACCACCATCGGCAAACTGTTTGTCAGGTTAAGCTCGGTTCTCTGTGCTGCCGAATACTACGAGACCAGTGAAAGCCTTTATGGCATAATTATGGCTAATGTGCCCGGTTGTTGGCACATAGCCGCTTTATTGTTTTAATCAATTTTTAATAATTAACAAGAAAAATTATTAATTAATAACTATATAACATTTAGCACAGAAAAGGTGGGGGCATTACTAACGCCCACTACACATAACGTATCTATATAAGTTCAACATATCGCGTCCAACAACGGGGAGGAGGGTGGGTAATTCTCTTCCATCCAATTTCTTGATGTGCTCTGCAGCCCTCGTGAAATAGGAAAGGACAGATAGCCCGCTTCACCACTGATAAATACCGAAATTTCCAGTCACGTGACTATACCTAAATTAACTTGCGCGCGCAAATTACTTATTTCGCATAATTAATTTCAACTATAAATTATTCCGGGAAGCAATAAAAACTCTTATCGCTGTGGCAATAAGTTCCTTTATTTATCTAATAGTCTCTTGCAAACAGTTTCTCATTACTTTTGTACGTTCTACTGCTCTATCTATGCGGAAATTTTCTGACTTGCTCCATGCGGAAATTAACCTATGTTGACTTGTGTCCAAATGTCTTCCATCTCAATAAGATAATATCATTATATCATTAGAGTACTGAGTATACTGGCTCAGTGTGACTGATGCGCCTTGAAATATTGACTAGAAATACAGGGTGTCCCAAAAAAGTCCCCCTATAGAAATCACTCTTTTGTTGTTAAACGTGCGTTATTATACCTCTGGGAATTTAAAATAGCTTCTAAAACGAACAGCAACACAACAACATTACAAATTCGTCTTACCGTAAGTTCGAGTAGAATGGTTCAACTGACTACAGAGCAACGAGTATTTGTCGTAACAACTTATAGAATATAGGTTAACGCAAAGTGTAACCTGGCGAAATGTTAAATAATTTGGACGGAGGGAAGTTGTAAATACTTCCGCTGTTCACGTACAATTAAATTAAATTTCTAAGAGTAAAGATGTAATAACGCACAAGTGTGATTTCTAAAGGGGGACTTTTTTTGAGACACCCTGTACAGGTTGTCCCCCAAAAAAGTGACACTATAGAAATTATTCTAACAAAATACAAAATAAGTGAAACTCCAAAAATCGATAACATTTTTATTTATCTACGTTTCGACTATATTTCAGTCATCATCAGGATAAACTAGCTAGATTATACATCAAAAGCAGTATTTATATGAAGAAATATCATACAATCATTAGACATTGTTATAATTTGAATGCCTAAGCACTATGCTGAACACAAGATGTCAAGAGTGCGTAAACACAATTGAATTGAATTTTTAATTACCAGGCGCATGAAATCCTGTGCTTAACAACAATAGGATAATTTCTATAGTGTCACTTTTTTGGGACACCCTGTAATATCCCACTCATTGCGAATTAGACAAATAACAGCGAAAATTTGAATAATGAAATACAGGGTGTATAAAAAAAAAACGCAACCTCGGAATTTCCTAAGAAATCACGTTGCAATTCTTAAGCATAAAAGATTTTAGGCCCCTGGGAATTGAAATCGAATTGCTAATAGATCATATTACTGTTGTTGTACATTAAATAAATGCATAAATTTTGCTTTATGCACTCGTCTATGCAGTAATTTTGACAGTTATGCTATTTTAAATTCCCAGACGCTTAAAATCTATTGTCTTTAAAACAAAGTCGATTTCTTGGGAAATTCCGAGGTTGCGCCTTTTTTTATACACCCTGTAGAATTAGCATGTGCAATCATCCATGCCAAAGTTTATCAGAAACATTTCGCAGCCAAAATTTCGACAGCGTAGAGTTTCACTATCGTTGAGTGATATGCAGCCAGTTTTGCAAAATCATAATGATTTTCTACATATAAATAAAACTTTGGCTCGCATTTTGCCAACAATCACGTTACGTTGAGTTAAGTTCAACGGTTTTTGAAACCGAAAAATTCATTCATTGTGGGCCGTGGCAAATATGAAACAAGGAAATTGAACCCGCAGAATATTATACATCCTCTCTGCTTCTCGATTTTGAACAGTACATGACAGTACAGCTGGTACTGGATATTGTAAAAGTATTAAACTTTACAGGAATACTACTTATAGCAGGTATCATATATGTAACAGTCTATGTAATATTTGTTGTGGTGGTATTATTCGTATGAATGCATATTACCTATTATTAAATTTCACAGCAACCGTGTAATAATATCAGATAAGTCTCGTGTTTGGAGGTAAGTAAATTAATGTTGAATTCCTCAGTAAAATACATTCACGAATCACAACTAATTCAGTTTCAATACTCCAGTCTGATACTTGTACCTTCATTGCTTCAAAACGCACACTTGTCACTAGATTCACTACACTTCTCAAAGGGGCTGAAAACAGTGCTCGTGAATGGAATTTTAAGGATTAAATTCATTTCATTAACATATGAAGCATATTACATGGAATTTCCTGTATCTTATAAGCAATATCCACGCAGAATACTGAACCTCCCCATCCAGCCCTGCAGTCAAGCATAAAATATTTTGTAATTCAACCAAAATTTGATGGATTTCTCCTTGGCATATGACATTGATTCCACAAATTTTCGTATTAAATGTTAATGATAATTTATCTTATTTCTGACATACAAACACAAATAAAAGAGCGCACAACGTCACAAAAATCTAGGAATGCCTTCCTGGCGGATCTCGAGTTAAACTGAAAAGTTCACAGGAGGCAGGAAGTGAGTCTCGTAATATTTGCATATCAACTCTTCAATTACTATCGAAACCGGAAGAACTTTGCACAATACAAAATAACACACCATATTATTGCGTTTGGTGGCCAATTTACTGGAAGATTCCTTAAGCATGCAGGTATGTAACTATGTAGTATTATAATAGATTTTTGAGTTATTCAATATTGACTAAATATTGATATTATTCGTATATGAAACCGTATTTATTTGTATTAAACAATTAAATATCCCCCTTCTTTGTCTCTGGTTTTGTACTAAGTTATGTAGTCTCAATGAAATTCAGAATATGTCCAAGATACAGTGGAAAAGCTCTGCTACTGACTTCATTCCGAGAACAACTGCACGAAAACACGCAAGTACAAAGTAAGTTACTCGCAGTGGCGGCGGAACAGTTGTTGTTTTAAAGGGGGGGAGAGCTAGCTTCCATAAATTGTCCAACATATAAAAACCATTTTCCGGACTAACCGATATTTCCGATTTCATGTCTTAAATTTTCTACATTTGCCTATAATTTTTATATATAAACTTCAAAATTCAGTTTAATCCTCAGTATCCATTTTTGAATTGCGTGCGCCATATGCCTATGATGAAACCGCAATCGCCGTGAAATAAAATTCTTAATATCGTATTATGAATCCAAAGAATATGCTTGAAAAGGAGACATATCAAAGAAATTTGATAAGAACAGTTCTGTTTAACTTAAACAAGAAACGTACAAATCTTATTCTTGTTCATCATACATTAGCTACTTCACTCTTTATGAGGGATATTAATTTTTATTTTCAACAACAATATTCGGCGCCTTCAAGCTGACAAAGGCCATAGATTTTTTCCTTACTCAGTGCAAGGTCTGGAAAAGTCGAGATCTTATAATTTTCAGCTCTCGGCTAGTAATGGTTTTATAGACCTCCGAATTGACCGATGATTTTCTATACAGCAATAAAATCTGAAAAAATATTTCTTAATTAACTGTCTTTTTCTTTTTCGTGTGTAGGTTTAACTATATGGCTACATACGTTCATAAGATGGCTGGCTTTGGTTTTCTAATTTTATTTGGTTTCAGTTGTTTGTTGTTTCCATGTGAAGGTATATATTCTTACACGATGGTGTAACTACATACAACATCTTATAAAATGCCTCTCATGCAGTTGAGAGCTTTATAAGACTTTAATTTCAATTATTAGAAATTGCTACCCCCTAAAAAATCATGCACTTTCTGATGTTTTTATACTTTACTTGTTTCGTTCACTTTACTCGCCAGACACTCAAAACAGTCACAAATCAAGTCAAATTGAATTGTATATCTCTGCATGTAAATGTTTTAAATTGTATTCTTCATTTCGTACTTTTCTTTGCAAAGATCAATCGGAATGACTTGACGTTTTACGATTTGTTCGTTTTAATGTTCCCCAACATTATTGTATAAATGAATTGAATGGGAACAAGAATATAGAAGTAATTGGGTTTTTAGCAAGTCTATATATCTAGTATAATAGCCATATGTAATTGTTGAGTGAACACGTACTCCCCCCGCCACCGCCTATCTGTCAGTTATACCAAAACAAAATTGGAAAATTTGTGTGTTGTTTATAGGAAAAGTCTTTCCACCATCTGATGGAACCAGCTTGGTATTTGCACGTGGATCAACTGAGAGAATAGTGTGGTCATATGATGATGAAATAGAAGCGTTGAGTCGTCGGATTTGGAGTTTCGAATCAAGTGATGGTAAAGTAGATGAAATATTTGCATTTGTTGACGCTGACGGGAGGGTTAATATATTAACCAGCTTATTTGAGATTGCAATAGAAAAGCCAGCAACATTAGTTTTAAGAAACATTAATGAAACTTATGGTGGAACATACAAGTTTAGCCTGGCACCTAGCA